CGGGAGACGGCATCACAGTATGGTAGGGGCGTAACATTTCCGTCACACGCTTGAGGTATCCGGCCAATCACAACGCACTGGATAGCTGGCCAATCAGAGCACACCTCGCTTTTTCAGGCCGATGAAGGCGGGGCATAGAGGAGAAACAATAATGTACAGTATGTTGAAAATAATGTGTTTTTTGAACCTTAAACCGCATAAACACATTTCATCACACCAAATACACAAAATAATGTTCTTTTTAGCAGCATCATATGACCCCTTTAATACCTTTTGAAAGGGTTTTCCCCAGTAACAGTTTAGGGTAGTTCTATTAAGTCACTCACCTTATGGTGGTTGTGGTCCACCAGACCTCCAATCACATAGGCTTTGGCCTCATCGAGTTCTTGTAGCACATTGGGTGAATCAGAGGTGAGGTAGACTAGGTCCTCCTTCTTCATGATTTCATGAAACGCATCAGGCTTGAAATGGACATCCTACACCACATTGAAATTTAGATGAGATGCTTTAAAGGCATCGTTTTCCATTATCCAACATCCATAGCTCAAATATACTCATTCTTTTGCTGCAAACTTTGACTCATGATTTGTGCAGAAGAACTAAAGATTTTTCTTGTGTGGGTGATGGATAGGCTCAACAATGTACAAAACATTGTCAACACAAAAGCATACGAGGAGCATTGAATTATACGTTTATTATAAATCCATGTAAATCCTTGAAAACGCCAGTTGCAGATATGCATTTTGTACACACAAGCCAAAAATATACAGTACAATTCATTTATTTTTAAAAAAAGGTTGATTTTATCAATTTTTCACAACAGCAAATCACATTTGCTGTCAAGTGACATTAAAAACGTGAACAAAATGATCAATATTTGTAAGATTTCTTATTGGTAGTGTCATTCGTTTCCCATCTTACCTTCCAGTTGACCCAGCCTTTGTTAATTTCGTCCATGACTTGCTTTAACTGACCATCTTGACTTGTAAGGTAAAACTGAGAATGTGAAACGGCAGTGTTAACTGAACGCTCACCTACTTTTGATCTTAAAGATCACATTTTTATTATATCTATTTGAAGGAAACACTTGCCTGTACAGGATGCAATGTGCGTCTGTTCTCAGCATAGCACCTTTGAATCTGCTTGTGAAGTTTCTTTACATCCTACATATTATGAAAACAATGTTAGCTTGATTAAATTTAGAGATTGATGAACTTTAAAGATGTAATTTTGTGCTTTTGTGAGTCATACATTTGATTCTGTAAACAATGCGATGCTTCATACAAATTTATTAAACTGATGACTTTTACTCGTTGATGTTATTATAATGGCAATTAAAAAGCACTGGGCTTTGTCTTACCTTGAGCACCATGAGGTTATCAAAGCTGCAGTCTATGACCAGTCTGAGAGAGCTGGGCTCTGCTGACCTGCGCAAACGCTTCTTTCCTGTCCACTCCACTCCGTCTTCAGCCTGCGCTTGTCTCTCCAGTTTCCTCTGCTGTTTTCTCTCTTTCCGCTTCTGTCTTTACATAAACAAGTGAGAATTAAAGCACATACTAAATAAAAGACTATCAGCAGGAACTGCTTGACCATGTAATAACAGAGAAAAGTTTTACCATGCATTTCATCATTTTGAATGCTTAGTTGCAGTGTAATTTTTGGTGACTAAAACTTTATACATTTTTAATCAAATATTATTGAAACAAAGCTAGAACAAAACCAAAAATGTTTTTTTCTTCCAACATTAGAAATGTTGCTTTGATAAACAACTGACATAAAATGACAAACTGAAATAAAAATGAATCAAAACTACATAAAAAAAATATTACAAAAAATATGAAAAATTACAAAGGCACATAACCAAAACTAAAATTAAAACGTAAAATATACAAATAAAAGCTCATTCAAAATATTAATAAATACTATAATAGCATATAAATAATATTCAAATTACAC